TATTAGAGAGAGAGAGAGAGAGAGAGAGAGAGAGAGAGAGAGAGAGAGAGAGAGAGAGAGAGAGAGAGAAGGAGACATAATGTACCGTAGTTATGTTACAAATATGTATGTACTTTCAAAATATGATGCGACTCTTCATGTTTATTTCATTTATGAGTTCGTATATATGATGTAGAACATCAATTCGTTCGTATAAACAAGATGGGGATAAACGAGGCCCTACTGTACATTATAATATATCATGTACATTGTAGTATCGATTTCGCGTTTAAAACGTTTCTGAAAACCAAGTGTTAATTATGTGATATATGATTGAGAAGAGTACAAATTAAAGAAATTAAGAGAGAAGAGGGAAATGAATGGATGAAACGGCGTTTTATTTCAAAAATATACAAAATTGTACAAAAATAAAATAAAAAATACAATATCCTAAAATACTTGAATTTTTTCAATTTAATTTCAACTTTTCATTATTTCCGACACTCTTTACGAAATACATGAATACATAACTTTTAAAGTGTCATACTTGATAGGAATCAGAAGGATGAAAAAATCTTGAAGTTTATAAGTTTCAAAGCATTAAATTTATCATTTATATCATTCAAATATCATTTATAATGAAAATAAAAAAAATATTACTTTTTGCAGCAGTTAATTAAAAAAGACTTGTTTACTTTGTTACTAGTTGGATCATACTTTAACAATTTTGAAATGATAACCATAGATTTGAATTCAGTGACTCATAAAACAAAACAATACTAATTTTCATTAGGATCATATGAAGCTGCTGCAGAGGTTACTACGCGACAAGTTTTCTCGTTGCATAAGCTTCATATTTTCATTTTAAAATTTCACTCTTACGAGTAAATATTTTAAAAATATATATATATACGTAAATCGTTAACGGCAATCATGTTAACAAAATATACAACCAAATAGATGATTTTTTATGTCACATATCTGTAAGACCAAAAATAAAGAAATAATACTGACATTATTTAAAATTTATAACTTCCATATCGATTGAACTTATCAAATCTCATCATCTGATTCATAATATATCTCCTGAATAGGTGAATCTCGACCTCTTGATTCGTGTGGTAAATATCCCGTTTGGAATAACGTGTCCAAGTTTATAAAATAAGATGAACTTTTTTCCAATACCCTTTCTATTTCTCCTTTTAAACGATCGTATGCTGCTCTCATACCTTGTGGATATTGAGTTAGTAAGTCTGAAAGCACATAAATAGCACTTCTCACGTTCCTTTCAAGGAGTTTTAATTATTCATTTTTCTTGAATACATACCTTTGTACTTTGATCGACTAACGTTAAATAGATAACGATAAAAACACAGTTGTTTGTAAAGTTCTACTTCTGAATACTAAAAAATTAAGACCATAATTATAGCTTTTAATATACTTGATAAAACGAAATATAGTATAATTTTAAGTTTACCTCTTTATGCAGCTCCATGACTCCACATTTCCTGCAAATTAAACACCCTAATGGAATCCGTCGTGTTCTTTCATCACATAATGGATTCTTGCATTTTAGNACCATAGATTTGAATTCAGTGACTCATAAAACAAAACAATACTAATTTTCATTAGGATCATATGAAGCTGCTGCAGAGGTTACTACGCGACAAGTTTTCTCGTTGCATAAGCTTCATATTTTCATTTTAAAATTTCACTCTTACGAGTAAATATTTTAAAAATATATATATATACGTAAATCGTTAACGGCAATCATGTTAACAAAATATACAACCAAATAGATGATTTTTTATGTCACATATCTGTAAGACCAAAAATAAAGAAATAATACTGACATTATTTAAAATTTATAACTTCCATATCGATTGAACTTATCAAATCTCATCATCTGATTCATAATATATCTCCTGAATAGGTGAATCTCGACCTCTTGATTCGTGTGGTAAATATCCCGTTTGGAATAACGTGTCCAAGTTTATAAAATAAGATGAACTTTTTTCCAATACCCTTTCTATTTCTCCTTTTAAACGATCGTATGCTGCTCTCATACCTTGTGGATATTGAGTTAGTAAGTCTGAAAGCACATAAATAGCACTTCTCACGTTCCTTTCAAGGAGTTTTAATTATTCATTTTTCTTGAATACATACCTTTGTACTTTGATCGACTAACGTTAAATAGATAACGATAAAAACACAGTTGTTTGTAAAGTTCTACTTCTGAATACTAAAAAATTAAGACCATAATTATAGCTTTTAATATACTTGATAAAACGAAATATAGTATAATTTTAAGTTTACCTCTTTATGCAGCTCCATGACTCCACATTTCCTGCAAATTAAACACCCTAATGGAATCCGTCGTGTTCTTTCATCACATAATGGATTCTTGCATTTTAGCCAACCATCATAATATTTTGTTATTACTTCTTGCACAGTAAGTGTTAATGCATTTTGTATAGCATTTACATATGTCCACGGTTGTACCGTGCACTCTGGATTTGAACATGATGCAAGTGATAATTGATTACCGTTAGGCTATGAAATAATTTTTTCCAATAAACATTAATTTGAATTTTTAATTTAAAAAAGGACTTCATTTCTACTTACCGTTTCGGTTACAATGTCCTTTATTATAATCTCGGACCGACATTTTTGATCTACACATTTAAATGTGAATGGAAGACAAAATCTGTATCTTTCTTCATTTATAAACGTTAGTATATCGTCGATATTTTGTTCGTATATCATTCTTTGAGGTTTATAAATTTTCTCTTAACCTATATAAAAATATATTGTTTTATACCATACTTGTCCGATCATTTATTTTACATATTGAAATTCGAACTATACCTAAATTCCGCATTAATAACACGTCATTGATTCCTGCGATTTGTTCACAAATTCTCAACGCAACCGGAAGTACTTGACTTAGTAAATAATAATTAACATCAATTTTCAAAAAACTGGATTTTTTGTACTCGTCGATGTGATATGCTCTATCAGTTGCAGACTTCTCCGATTCATCCTATATAACAAGATACTACTGAAGTGTAACGTCAAACACTAAGGATAACTTCAAACATATTAATTTATACGAACTTCACATATAATGTGTATGGTACAATATCTCCAACTTTCCATGTTCTACCACCTTGCTTATTTAATCTTAAAGCTACTTGCACGTAAGATGGCTTCGGGTTTCCATATGGCTTTGGATTTTTCGATAACTGTTTTCTAATAATTAACGATGATAAGGAAACTTGATTGTTTCGAATATTTCTCGAAACGTTTTGAAAATCTCTTCTAGCCGATTTTTGTTAGATTGATCAGAAAATAACTGATCTAATATACAGCTTTAAAGTTCAGTAATTGCAAGATAGAAAATATTTGTGCTGTTAACCATTTGTTACTGACTTTCCTACATCATAAGCTAGCTGACAGCAGTCCCTTTTCAAAATAGTCAAACCCTTAGCTATAGCGTTAATTCGATTTGTCCATTAGGTAATTTTGTCATTGTAACCGCAGCATACATTTTCTTCTTTAGAAGTAATAAATAGCGAATCGATATCTAATTCCACCTGCTTATACAATATGTTCACTTCTTGTTTAATCTAGAGAGCTGTTTTATCTATACATGTAACTACTTTGATAGAAGTATTTGTGCTAAACACATTAAATATTTACCATTCTACCAACAGAAAGAACCACTTCATAGTCGATCGAATTAGTATTTATCATTATCGAATCAATAATTCAACTCTTCAATAAGAAGTTTTGTGTCACTTAAAATTTCTCGACCTTTTGCTGTAAGATGTTTTTATATTTAGTATGTATGCAACAGTGTTAACAGACAAATTTGTTTCAAATTTTACCTGTTACCTGCTGTAAAAAGCAGCAAGCTTTTTAGCATAAAATCTACAACGAGGTGCGCCTAAACAACCATATATGGAATTAGCTAATACTTTCAAAGCCAACTGTCTAATATCATATCGCATTTTCAACTTGGGTGAGTTATTTGGTGCATTTATTAATCTTTCCAGTTCTACTCTACTCTCGATCAATTTGCGAATTTCTGTTGTAATTACTCCAGGCTCTAGATTTGATTCGGGGAAAACTAAATCCTACAAGCACATTTATTCAGAGCAAGACTGAACATTTCTTAAATGATAATAAATATATTTACCCCGATATTAGTATATACAGCACCACGGACAGTAGTGAAACACAAATTGTACTCTTGGATTATACTAGGATACAATGAATTGAAGTCCATTAATAATATCAGCTTATCGTAAAATCCTTTTTTGGGATCAAGAACTAATCCTCCAATATAAGTTTCCTTGTTCTTGCACATATTTTCTGCAATTGATGCCATAGTAGTTCCCATATTAATTCCCACAGTAGTTCCTTTACTTGAAATAACTCGTTTATCTAGAGTTATATAATTTTTCAAGTGAAGAGCATGTAGTAATAAATATTCATTTCTTTCTGTACGTCCTAGTGTTAATGTTTTTAATAAAATGTTTCCTGTGGGCAAATATATACATATTTTATTGAAAAAATAAATACATTTCACATAATATGTCATTATCAGTGCACGTACCAGTAATGGATATAATTTCTAGTGCTAGTGGGAGAATATATATTAAGTTCAAGTACAATAGAGAGAATATGTAATGTGTGTGNGAACTATTTATAATAGAAAGAACTATTAAAGGACCCTGTTGGTTAGATGTGAAATATCCATTACCAAGTCGTTTACAAATCTGTTGGAGTAAAATAAAGGTATAATAATTTAATCTCTAGATTTGATCTATCGTTAAGTTCTAAAGCTCAACAAATTGTATAACGCAACAGGTGACTTGTGCGAAAATGGAGAACATATCAGTTTGTTCCAAGGCTCAAGCTTCACCACCATTAACAATAATGACTTTAAATGTACGAACATTATTGAATTTTGAATCTCGAGAAAATGAAATAGTTATGGTTGCGGTATTAATACATGACAAATTTCATGTTAAAAAAGAACCACTATACTATGATTCTGATTTTTCTTCTTCAGTATTGCTATCTTTTACTTTGTCCTCCACTTGTATTTCCACTTTTTCTTCATCATTATTCTTNAGAGAGAGAGAGAGAGAGAGAGAGAGAGAGAGAGAGAGAGAGTAGATACTACAGATTTGCCTTTATTGCTTACAACTAATGCAAATAAAGAAGAAATGTTGAGATTTTATTGGTGGAACGCATACGAAGATCTGTACAAAAAACCTGGAATTGTATTCTTATTTGGTAAGGTCTATGTACCGTCTACGAATACATACTGTTCTTGCTGTATACAAGTTGCAAATATTCCTCGAAGAATATATCTCCTTCAACAATTATAAATTTTAGATACAATCTCCTAATGGTAATAATGATAAACCAGAATTGAATTCAATGAAAGATGTTTATGAAGAATTTAATGAGTTTGCAAATAAATCAAGGAATAAAAGAATTTCATTGTAGTACAGTTACAAAATATTATGCTTTTGAACCGGAAGATACTCCATTAGTGCCTGAATATTTAGAAGTGAGATATTCAGCACGGTATCCAGCTATGCCTTCCAATTATTCTGGATCATCAATAAAACGTGTCTTTGGGACTACAGTGAATGCTTTAGAACTATTTATAATAGAAAGAACTATTAAAGGACCCTGTTGGTTAGATGTGAAATATCCATTACCAAGTC